AACTTTACCTTCTACTGTACTTTCTAATATCTGCTTTGTCCGTTCACAATCTGTAAAATTGTGATACATAAATTATGATGTTAATATACTAATTTGCATCGATTACAATCTGAAAGAACCAGCCAGAACATCTGTAAACTAAGTGATTTGGGAGTATTTACTGGGCTGAGCAGAAGGGGGTGGCCACCAACCATGCTTAGTCTTAATCTTTGAGCTATATTGTCATAAATTATTTTTTATGGGAATTACCTATACAAAAAGGTTTTGCTACTTTCGGTTAATTTATTGTTCATAAACCCACGCCAAAATAATAGAATCGTAATTAAAATGTTAGATTATTTCATGCCGTACCCTCAATGTCCTCCGTCGCTTCCTTCCATTCATTACAACCAAAAGCAATTGTTGTTAATACTTCTATCCCACTGGTCGATGGTTCGCCCTCATTAAATCTGTAGAAAAGGCAATCCAACATAGTGATACTTGAAGCAATAATCAGAAAATCAAAAGTATATTTTAGAATAATCAAAAGTATATATTAGAATAACTTGACAAGTACACTTAATAGCGAATATTTATATGATAATATCAGTGACCGTATACTGTTAGTTCCTATGTTCCAAGTTAATCAAGTATGTGGTAAAGATAATCTATATAATGGTAGAGTCTTGCGATGAAGATCAGAAAAACAAGATCAACATATTAAAATGCCATAGCTGAGAGATATTATTATAAATACTAGCCATCTTCTAAAAAATACAAATCAAGTTGGCAGAAATAGTACTCAAATAAAAGAACAATGATGTAAAGATTGCATCAGGCATAGTCTATCAACTAAAAAGTTCCCAATCAATTGTATGAACACATCTCACCGGCAGGAATTGAACCCACAATCTCATACCACCAGAATACTACAGTTGAGTGGTATATCGCAAGTATAATCTAACCAACGGCAGTTTCTCAAACAACTAATATATGCCAGGGGTGGTGCCAGGATTTGCCCGACAGGAGGGCCGAGGTCCCCGACAGGGGGGTCAGATTTTCCCGACGAAAGCAAAGTGCGCGTGGTCGAGCTTTGATTAAAAGGTTTGAAAAGTGGTCCTGAGGGGCGAAGCCCCCGAAAATTTTGATAATTTAGGGGTTTCAAAGGCTTATTTAATCAATTTTAGAGTCTACTTATATGTAGAAAATACATATAATTTTTTGTTCTCCCCGACAAATTGTGCTTTTTCTCCCCAATGGGGGCAGCTATCCCTGACGGGGGAGGTTCCCCCACCCCTGATATACACCCTCAAAAAGCGGGGCTGATGTAAAGTGTACTCTAGAGGTCGCAGCTGGTAGTATAATAGGTATACGGAATCAATGTTGCTGCATAGCAATGTGATAAGTATAATCAAATAATTTTAGAAACAGTGTTGAATAACGGAAAAGGAACAATAATGAAACTAACCGCAGCAACAGTAGTAAGTAGCAGTAGCAGTAGCAGCTCAGATTGTCTTGGTAAAGATGCTATTGTTAAACTGCATCTAGCCAAGCTATCAGCAATGTTAACTGAATTTTTTAATTATTTTTTTTTATCTAGCTTTATTTTAAATTTGATTTCATTTTTTTTGCATTGTTCACCTAAAACGTTTTACTGTAGCACTCCTTATTTTTCAGTTTGGATCAGTTGGTAGAACATGCAAATCGCAATCATAGTGTCTACAGTTAGAACAAGTATTGTGTAATTTGAAATACACATAGGAAAAATATACAGTTATCTTTTTTGGTATCTAACAGGTGACTAATTCAATAACATGCACAATATGCACATGGGTGTAAGGGTTGTGGTATGTATGCCACAAATAAGAAATAGATGTTTTTAACTAATGTAAAGGATATGTACTAGTTGGCTATGCCAACTAAAACTTACGGTTTTCCAAGGAGAGAGTTTACTAAACAGGATTTTCCAACTCCCTCTTTGCCCGTGAACATTAATCGCGCATGGTTAACTGTTATTTTTCCTTTTTCTAACTCTTTGTTAAAAACCTGTAAAGCTTCTTCACCTCTAGCTCGCACTTCTTCTGGAACTCCAACTAATTCACAAAGAAAAAAGGTAATAAAATGTTTATTTGTTTGAAAAACAAACTTTCATAAAGGTTTTAAAATATAAAAAAAAAATACACATAGCATATGATTCATTACGTATTGAAAAAATCAAGTTAATGATTAAACAGAACATATTAACAATAAAGTATGAGAATTAAAAAAATGATTTGCTTATTGTCACTAGATATTATATAATATTATTTTCTATATTACTATTATGACATGTCTTATTACAGTTTACTACATCAGGAATCTTGGAAAATAGAAACTTTCTCATGCGTTAATTTTTCATATTTTTTGTACTGATAATCTCTGAGTTGTAGATCAGTGATCATAATCAAGCTGTTGGGATATCTCTTAAGAGGTGCATAATCATTCTATCTATTTTCCTCACACTGTTTGGAGTCTGTTGCATTGCAAGTTTCATTAACTTCTGTCTGTGAATTGTGAATTTTGTATGGTTCTTCCTCTAACATCCAGAAAAAATGTCTATTTTTTATTATGAACTTTAAGATCAAATTGCTCAGTTATCTTGTATCATATAAGAGAGAAATATTTCTTTAACTCAGATGATATAATTATACCAAAGTATTCAACAAATGTAACAC